CCCCCGCCGCCAACCTCATTATTCTCCCTTCTCCAGGAAATTTCAGGCAAGATAATTGAACTCTAGGCATCAAAAGGTTAGAAGTGGCAAAGGGTCATGTCACCTACATGAACTCTCAGCCTGGGATGTCTTAGTGACTACCCCCCAATTCATCTGTCCATGCAGGATTTGGAGCGTATCTCTAGTTGGAGCAGCACACAGAACACCTACCAAAAACAGAAGAGGGAAAAGGCAGGTTTGGGTTCCCCCTGTTGGCTCTGTGAGAAATGACAGGCTACCCTCCCATCTCCCTACTCCTCCCAGTTGGCATTCCTCAACTGGGTCAAATACTTAACCCCACTGCTCCAGGGTAAGAAAACAACGTATCTCAGGGAAGAAATTTTATTTCCAAACCCCTAGGAAGGCATTAAAAATAATAAAGATAGAAACCCAAATCAAATCAAACCCTGAAGCAAGTGAAGACAGGCTGGTTGGGTAGGCCGAAGCACCCAGGCAATCAGGGAAGGGAAGTAGGAGCAATACATTCCAGATAGAGGCCTCACCCAGGAGCCTGGGTCCCCCAGTTCAGGTGACTGTTCCAGGAAAGGGAGGAGTTGGGAACTGGAAATCTTCACCCCACCCATCCCTACGTGGCCCTGATGGAAGAGAAGGCAGCCTCACTGAACAGCAAGGTCTGCTCTGACCCCTCAACAGTCCATAAAAATGACCCTGTATGACTCAGGGGTTGAGGTGGAGTCCTGCAAGCAAACTAGTCACAGTCTCTCAAAGAAGGGCCAGGTCCACCTGATGGGGGCAGAGTTAGAGCAGAACACAGTCCGGCTCTGGCTTCGACCTCTGCCGTCGCTCTCCAGCTGGGCGTCCAGATGTGGCTCCTCTCCCCTGTGTGGGATTTAGCAACGGGTCATCCTTAACCTTGGTAGAGGTCAACCTCTACCAAGGGATCAGGATCAAAAGGGGTACCACGAAGGAGTGTGTGGTAGGAGACAGGCTTCTGAGGGAACCCTTGCAGAGGGCCCACATAGAAACCATTAACACATTCTAGGCCAAGCAAAGCCAAGTTGGTGTCCTACCCTATAGGATATGCGCAGCTTTACCTGGGGCGAAGGGGCCCTGGTTTGCACAGGTTGAACTGCCTGCTGTTGTTGATACTCCTCCTGTTGAAGTTGCTGGGCCAGTTCCAGGTCACTAAGGCCCAGCATGCCTTGGGGCTGCTGCTGTTGCTGCAGGGACAGGGCAATAAGGTAGTCCTAGAGAAAACAGAGGTCATTAGGTAGGGAAGGCCAATTTGTAGGGGATACAAATTCAGGTTAAATTTCCAAACCAGGTTTCCTTCAAGTTCTCTAGTCTTTCTCCCTCCGGACAAAACATACAGCCCAGTATATTATCTGTGGTGCCAGAAAATGCACACCAAGGAAGGAAATGGCCTAAAGATGTACCAAGTTCACTTAAGGCAAAGAGCTCACTGAGGTAAATGAGGTAAATGAGGTAAATGCACCTTTCCCAAAGGCCCCACATACCTGGTCCACTTGTAGCTGTTTCTCTGGGGAGCTACCTGCACCTTCTGCTACAGGGCTCTTGCCCAGGGAATGACTTAGGTGGAAGTCAGAGTCACAAAAGCAGCTGTCTCCATCCACATTATGCAGGCTCTCCCATACCACCTGCTCCTCCTGCAGAAAACCCTGGTCAGTGACCAGTAGGTACAAGTGACTCTGCAAAGAAAAAGATAGAGCCAGGGCTGGGGGACATAGCTTAGTGGTAGAGCATTTGCAAGTCCCTGGGTTTAAACCTCAGCAACAGACACACACACACACACACTGAAAAAAAGCAAATTGATGGGTCATGTGAATGCAGCGAGGCAGTTCACAGCCAAGACTTCCTGAATCTATTGATATGCTGGTTGGAATATTCAGTGTGAGTGTACAAAATAAATATAAATATATATCATACAGTGCATATCACAAATATATATCATGATATACAAAAATATATATCATAAACATTCATGGCTGGCAGGAAGGGATGTTTAAATGCAGGTGAGTGTATGCATGCGGTCATTTTGGTCAAATCCTCAGGGCTGGGCTATCATCCAAGATCCGGCTTCCTACTCTTATTTTCTCTGGTTTTCAGTGTTTGCCAATGTTTATGGTAATAAACCCTTTGAGAACCAAAATAACCAGGTATGGTGCTGTACATCTGCAATCCTAGCCCTTGAGAGGTGCACGCAGGAGGATTAGAAGTTCAAGTCTAGCCTAGACTACATAAGACTCTAGAGAGAGAACCAGAGATCTCTCCCTCCTACTTGATTCCTACAGAGCTTCAGAAATGTCTAATTCTGAAAGACTGTAGTGTTGCTCTAAAGTTCCACTATCCCTTTCCAAGAGAGGACTAGTAGGCTTATTACTCATGGCTTGCTCTGGTCAGTGTTATTTCCAGGCAGATGCACTAAGAGTGAATACAGTATCTGTTTTCTTGCATATATTCTAGATCTTTTGTCAACCTGGGTCCCAGAATGAAAATGGTATGAGACAGAATGTGGTTAGTTTGCAGTGGACATGCCATGTCCGTGAGAAACAAAATTTGTTGTGGTAAACCACAAGGAATTTAGGGCCCCGGTTTAACCTACCGTATCTTGCCTGACACACTGACCCAAGAGAAAAAGGCACAGGAAAATGACAGTGCTCCAGCCCCCCACCGCCAAACCCCCATCACCTTGTGCTTAGTCATAGTGCTAAAGTGGTTGTTTCGGAAAAAGACACTAAGTTCATCCTCTTTGGCAGCTGCTGTGAGCTCACACAGGCCGTGGTATGTCAGCTGTGCTGCAGTGGTCTCCAGGAACTGTTCAGCAATCAGGCCTGCAGCAAGGAACAAAATGGGAGGGAACTGTCTTAAATCCAAACCCATGACAGGAAAAACCAGGACAAGCCAAAGCTAGGAGGATAGCTCAGTGGGAGATCCCTTGCCAAACATGCAAAGACCCTGGGTTCGAGCCCCAACCAAAAATCAAAACAATGTCCAAGAGAGTCTATTAGTTAGTTTTTGTCAACTTGACACAAACTAGAGTCACCTGGGAAGAGGGAACTTCAGCTGAAGAATTGGCCAGATCAGATAGGCTTATGGCCTTGCTTATGAGACATTTTCTGAATTGCTAGTTAATATGGTAGGGTCCAGTCAATTGTGTGCATGCCACCCCTAGACAGGTAGGCATGGACTGTATAAGGAGGGTAGCTGAAGCTGGGCATGGTGGGGCATCAAGCTGGGCACTTGGGAGGCAGAGGTAGGCAGATTTCTGTGAGTTTCAGGCCAGTCAGGGCTGTACAGTGAGACTTTGTCTCAGAAAACAAAACACAAAGGTAGCTGAGTAAACCAGAGGAAGCAAGCCAGTGAGGAGCATTCCTCCATGGTCTCTGCTTCAGGCAGTTCCTGTCTGCAGGTTTCTGCCCTGCTTGAGTTCCTACCTTGGCTTCTCTTGGTGATATACTGTGATTAGGACCTGTAAGTCCAATAAACCCTCCCCAAGTTGTCAAGTGTTTTATCACAGCAGTAGAGAAGGAAACTAGGACAGGAAGGATTAGGATGGTCCAAAGAGCCCTTGGGAGCTCTCCTGGGTTCCACCTTCCTTGGGACTGGGACACAGCTCAGTTTTAGACTACATGCTTAGCGTGTACAAGGCCCCAGGTCTGATCCCCAGCCACACACATACACACACACACGCACACACACACACACACACACACACAGAAGTTGAAGCCTGACTTCGTTAATGTATGCTTATAATCCTAGTACTTGGGTGCTGGAAACAGGAGGATCAGGAGTTCAAGGTCATCCTAAACTACCAAGCCAGACTGTCTCACCCTTACCCTCCAAATTGAGATGAAACCCTTTCCTTGAAGGGCTATATTTATTCATTCACTCAATACTAGCTAGGAGTGGTGGTGTACATCTGTAATCTCAGCTCTCAGGAATCTGAGTCAGGAAGATCAGGAGTTTGAGGCTAGCCTGGGCTATGTAGTAATTTTGAGGCCAATCAAGACTACACAAGTCCATATACACTTTTTTTTTT